AAAATTCATGGAGAAAGCATGAAATGGAAAAAAAAATTAATCTTAATTTACTTGCATGTTAGCATGTAGTTTGAAGGGGCTGACTTGGATAGCTGTACAGGGAAGAAGAAGCCATCTTGACAAGAAAGTTGATTATATAGTTATCTTTCCTATGTGTTGATCACTATTAAAATATTGTTATTTCCTGTGTGTGTAGATCCAATTTTCCAGCCTTATTCATGGGCAAATAAATCGGATATATGTAGTAACCCAGAGTAAAGTTTGGATTTCAAGGTTGTTTTAATTGAGTGCAATATTTTTTTCTCGGAATATTAATATATTGATGTACATATTTTTAACTTGGGACCATATACAAGTGAAATGAATTTTTCTTTTGTTTTTTATTACTCAGTGTGAATTTTGTGTTTTCATTGATCTGTGTGAGACTTGTATATGACTAGTTTTTTTTGTTTATTATTTTGAAGTATTGTGCAATGAGTTCATATATGCATCTATGTTATGAACTTTTTAAAAAATTAAATTTCATGCTTGATTTCACACTTGACTAGTTTTAGATATTCATTTTCATGCTCAGTACATATTCTGCAATGGAGATCAACCAAGTGTAACCATGCACAAAAACAAAATGCAGACATTAAAAGAAAACACTTCAGGCCACATGAAAAAACAAATTGTTTTTATTCCTTTGCTCATACAGTTGACAGAAATATATTTTTTATGTTCATGGCATATTCTAAGATTTATTAATTTGGGCATGTGTTTGTGATGTTCAGATGCCAATTTATGACTAACTCCATGGAGGTGAAATGTGTGTTTAATTGCGAGCAGGATATGGGGGTTGGTACATACAAGAAATGGAATGGCTGTTGCAACTCACAGAACCAAGTTTATTTCCATGTACTGTCAAACCCATTTATCTTGACCTTGGTTATCTGGAGAATCCATGTTTGTTGAGTGTTTTGGTCCAGTGCCAAAAAATCTGTTTATTTTGCAAATTTTTCCCTGCTTATCTCTACCCATGTCACACAACCAGGTTTAATTTCAGGTACTGTCATTCCCACCTATCCTGACCTTGGTTATCTTGAGAACCCATGTATTTGAGTGTTTTGGTCCATTGCCAAAAAGTCTTTGTTTTGCTAATTTTTCCCTGCTTATGTCTACCCTTTTCAAGTTGATTACCCATTATATAAGGCATAAGTTTCAGTCCAAAGTAACACATAAGACTAGTTTATTTCAGTCCAAAGTATTACATAGACTGTTTATTTCAGTCCAAAGTATTACACAGACTGTTTATTTCAACAATGTAGAGTGTACATCTAGAAATTTTTTTCAAGAAATAATCTGCTAAAGTGATCAAATTTCACAATTTTAATCGTTATGTTTTGCTACTAGTCACAAGCCAACAATAACATAAGAAAATACTTTAAAAGTACAGAAAGTTAAATTTTTAAAAAGTGGATGCAGACAATTCAACAGAACAATGCATCTACTTTTTGCTAACTGCTGAGGTTGACACTCAAGTGGCATCCTGCCAAAGGAAATGTACTATCCAGTAACATGGATTGAATACAAGAGTTACATTTTCACACTTTACATTTTATCATGTTTGATTGTATAATTAAACTTGTGCCAAGAACTTTTTCTGTAGCTATACATATCTCTGTTGTGTATGTATATATATATATATATATATATATATAAATATATATATATAAATATATATATATAAATATATATATAAATATATATATATAAATATATATATATAAATATATATATATAAATATATATATATAAATATATATATATAAATATATATATATAAATATATATATAAATATAAATATAAATATATAAATATATATATAAATAAATATATATAAATATAAATATATATAAATATATATATATATAAATTTTTGTGCTCTGAGTTATTTTTATGATTCTGCAAGTCTTGTGTATCTGTGCAGTGTATAAATGTTATTTTCAATCCATATGATTTATAAAGAGATCTTCAAAAAAGTTTATTTACAGCATACATTTAGCTGTCATAAATTTTAAATAAACGCCCCATTTCTTTCAGTAGAAATGAGGAGCTGGATGAGATCATTAGTTTATTAGATTCATTTGATATTCTTTTGGGTCATTAAGATTTTTGTACTATAGAGATGTAGTAAAAATAAACATATGTATATACACATAAAATTAATTAAAATACAATATACATGTATATATACAGTGCAATTATATAGACAACAATGCAGCTTTTCTTATGGTGAGAGACAAATTATTTTGCCATACTTTAATGGCAGTAGTCACAGGTTCATTTGGTATTTATTATATTTTCAGTTCATAAGATTAGCTTAATTGGTGTGTTATTAAGAATATATCTTGTTCATTACATAATATATTAATGGATTCACAAAGACAAGAGTGTGCACAAATTACAGTATAACTTTATTTAAAGAAAATGCAAAATCTTCGAAGTTAGCTGCAGGGTACATGTTTATTTTGTAATTTTCATGTTGTCTGTTAAGGTACCACTTGAATCTAAATTATGTTTATATAGAGTGTGACCCCACAATAATGCACTCTGTTGTTATAACACAAATTCAGATATAACAGGCGTGGCATAGCTCCCAAAATTTCATTCACCTTATTACAGATATTTTTCTCATAAACAAAAAAAAATAGTATGTAAAGTAAATTGTGTAAGTTTTATTATCATGTTGGAAAAAGATTGCTTATATGAATATAAGACGTTTGTGGTGTGGCTCCCGAAATGTACATGTATTATTCTCATCCAAAGAAAACATTTTTTCTTAAAATTGCAAAAAATAACGTGTAGACAGTTTATCATTATTGGGAAAGAAATCAGATATGGATTCTAATATAAACTGATCCTGGCATGGCTCCCGAAATTTCATTTACCTTATTACCAGTATTTTTGTCATAAAAAAAAATCAAGTATGAAAAGTAAATTAAGTAACAGTTTTATCATTTTGTAAAAAATATTGCCTATAAATTTGCATACAAGATGTTTGTGGTGTTGCTTCAGAAATATCACGTACATGTATTATTCTTATACACAGAAAACATTTCTTCTTAAAAGTACAAAAATAACATGTAGAAAGTCACATATGGATTCTAATACAAACAATCGTTGTGTAGCTCCTAAAATTTTTTAATTTAAGAAATTTCTTACAGTTTTGTGCCAAAAAAAAACAGAAATATCGGAACCCATGTATGGGCCTATTGAGAACTTTGGTTTTTGTTTATTGTTGAAAGATGAAAGCTCATACATGTTAATGTTCTTATTACTGGTTCATGAACAATAAGGCCATCAAATTTACTTATTGTTTGTCTACAATGCATTCCCTATACAATCATTGCTCAAACAATATCCAACATGTTTCATGAAGCTTCATTCACAACTAAGCAATAAACAATGCAGCGGTTGATAAAAGATTCTCACCTGAATTTATAAATCAATTAAAGTTCATTGTTCATCATCAAAGTCAATTGCCAGCTAAACTTTTTCAAATTATGGGTCATTGATTTATAAAACATCAAACAAACACAAGCCTCCAACATGTGCAGTGGCTTGACTGTATTGTTATATGCAATCAGCTGACCAGTTAATAATGTTGTCCATTCCCTACAAATATCACCTACCTAATTATTGCTGTAGTCTGAAAGCAGCTGAAAATATACAGTTTTTCAAACAATAGTAAAGTATTACAAATCAGGATGAGAAAATTTAGAAGTATGCAATTTATATTTAACTTTCGGACATACTGTTTCATCATTGTTACATACTATTTGCTATTAATTTTTTCCCCTACATACTATTTGCTATTAATTTTTTCCCCTACATACTATTTGCTATTAATTTTTTCCCCGTTAATTTCAATTGCATACTGATCTGTGACAAAATTACTGAATATTTAAATATGTATGCAGATATTTTTGATGGAAATATTTGTATTGTGGATTCAATGTATAAGATGAGATTCACAGGTGAGTACACAGTGTTGATACTCTATTCATGCTATAGATTAGAGGTATATGGGTGTATGCACCAATGCATAGTTTCAGAATAAAGTAATATATATGCAATCTGTTATCACTGCAGGTGTTTTTCTCATTTAATATACATTGATATAATATGGTAACTATGCCAATGAAGCACCGATTTTATTCCCCTTTTCCCTTTATTCCCCCCCCCATAACCCTGCAAGTTTGTTAGCAACATACATGGTTGATTATAACATGGTTCCCTTCATAAGAGGTTGAGTTCTATGGCTCCCAACTACCACATTATAGTGTGTGTGTGTGTGTGTGTGTGTGTGTGTATATATATATATATATATATATATATATATATATATATATATATATATATATATATATATATATATATATATATATATATATATATATATATATAAAGCCATGAAATCATTTCATAGGAACATAATCTCATGATTTATTTGATATCATTTTATAACTAAATAGCAAAACATGTAAACACTTTTTTGAAAATATCTATGGCTTTTGAACTGTAGTGGAAATACAAAAATATATGTTAAAATTACAAACACATACATGTACAATCAACACATTAATTCAAAATGCATAATTTTTTTTTATTTTTAATCTACATGTACATATTTAAACACATTAATACATAAAAATAGCATAATGTGTACTACACTATTTTTTTTAGTAAATATGAAGAAAGATCAGCCTGCTTTTGTTTAATCCAACCCTGATTTGTAACAAACAATTCAAAAGCATTTATCTTTTCATGTATATGCTGATCAATGGCAACATTTAACACAGTTTTCATGCATTCACCTATTTCACTGCTGCTTGGGATAGTGATAGGCTGATCATCATCAGCATCTTGCTGGTTGTCAATGGTTGGAATATTTCTTCATCAGAAATTAACGTTAGGCACAGCATCATCATCCACATTTACAAAATTACAATATACAGACCACTCTGGTGGCTGAGTGGTTAAAGTGTCTGCCTCAGATGTGGGAGGTTGTGGGTTCAAACCCTGGCCAAGTCATAGCAGAGACATAAAAAAATGGTATTAACAGCTGTCTCCTTTGATGCTCAGCATTAAGAGGTTAGTGTTAGGATTGGTCAGCCTGGTGTCAGAATAATGTGACTGGGTGGGACATGATGCTACATGTCTGCAGCATGATGCCCCAGTGCTAAACAATTATAAACTGCCACACTGTAGACATTGTAAGGATATGACTGAAAAATTGTTAAAGCTACATTAAACATCCAAATCACACACACACACAATATTTTTCTTAAGCAGTGCCTATGGAGTCCAGAATCTCCTCAGCCATTGATGCAAGACATATCTGAATGAGGCTCTGCCAAACACTGCTAGTAAAATTCTTCAGAAATTTCCAGACGATGGAACCAAGAATCTTGAATGGTTTTTGGCGCTTCACTGTTCTTTGCTGAATGGGCCTACATGAGGGCATCTAGCAAAGTTGGTACATAGGATCGGTTTTTCCTTACCTGCAAGCAAATAATAACTACAGCTTTCCGATAATGTATTTTAAAAGCCTGAAGTACTCTTTGGTCCAGTGCCTGAAGCGTACTGAAAACATTGGGAGAAAGAAAATACAGCATGATTGTGTGTAGCCCTTCTACACATTGATAAGCATGGCATTATTAATTTCAGTCTTTCACTTTTCAAACTGGAAGTGGCGATCTAACTTGTGAAAACAACTGGTACAGATATTACCTGTCATCCATCTATTTTACTGGCATTTGTAGTCAATTGGGAGAGAAAATCTATTAATGTTATTGAATTATCATGGAATTTTGGATTTTTCTGCTATTAATGGCTTGATCTTGTCACTTCTGTCCATATTTCCGGCCAAAAGCAAAGTTACTCTCTCTTTGGTTTTGTATTCCTCCATGGCATTCATTTCCTTTGAAATCCATCATCTTGCTAGGCAGACATTGCCAAAATAGCCCAGTCTCATCAGCATTGTGTATGTGATGTGGCTTGAACCTAAGATTTTTGGTACAACTTCTTTATGCCATTCCTGAATGTCTGTCTCAGAAAAAGATACACTCTCTTCACACAAGATTTAAAAAATGATGCACAACTTTTCATTCATGAGTACGCCTCGCCTAATTCCTTTACTCTCCATGGTCACATTTACAAATGATTAGGATACATTACTGATATACTTTAATATTTTTAATACATAAAAATGTGAAAACATTTTCGATTGGTCAAATAAAATAAAATTTGAGAACGGTAATGAATAAAAGAACTTATGCTCCTATTGGCATGCCTTTGAAAGTTATTTTATTTGTACTTGTTTGATTTGATACAAAAGACTTATTCAAAGTGATAAAACAATAAAACGTCTTTTTTAATTGATTCTTTTATTGCAACAAACACTTTCCCAAGCTGTTGATCAAAACAAAGCCAGTATGTAATTAGGTTCTCACAGAAGAACTCAAGGGTTTTGACTTGATGGTCTGGTCGACTGACTCTCTTCATGTTTTCCTATAAGAAAATATGAATGTTGCCATTATAGTGTTGAGAGGATTATAATGTGAATTTCACCTCGCAAGACATTTAATTGGTGTTTATTTCATTCTCTTGCCACATCTTAGCATTTACCAGACTTTTTCATTGATCACTGTTTATTTACAGTGTATTGACAACTATTTCTCTATTTTAAAAATTCCTAACATAATATATGATATTAGAAGTTGGATTCTATATTTACGGGCAATAATCACCATTTTCGATGATAAAAACAAGCTATGTATCAAGGTAAAATTTACCAATAAACCATTCCTTATGACTTTTTTCATGTTCAAAACATTTTAAAATATATTATCTTTGGAAAATAAATCAGGAGCCATGCTGGACACCACATTATAAGCGAGTTCGCAGTTATCCCGCAGAGGCAGAGTTATCAAGGGAGTGGTATAGATATATAACTCATCTTTGAAAACAAATCTATATTAATTCATTTAAATTATCCTTGGAGTACAAGTAATTGATCAACTTATTGAAAACAAAGTCTGTTGTGGAATGCATGAGTTAATTTGCAAGTATTTCTGACAACCATCTACCTTATTTTATTTACTTCAGACATTTATATTTCAGTTTGGTGTTTACTTTTACACTTTTGTACTTGATGAAAATCATGTTTATATTTTTAAATGAATCAGAATATTATGCACTGTTAAGTAAACTTTTTACACATTGAATTTAATTTTTGTTGTTGTGATTGATATTGTTTTGTATAGATGTACACGTAAACTTCCTACCAACTATTGTAAGAAGTAAAATTATTTACATAAAGAATCAAATGGATGCAATATTTTTTATACTACCACTACCTGCTATATTCACAGACAGTGTTAGGGGTTCAAGACTTCAAAAGTGTATTTTGATGTCCCGAGGGGGTGTTTGGTGTGTGTGTGATACAAAAAAATGTCACCTTATTGAGAATAAGATATCTTAATCATATAAACCTGGTGCGAAAAAATTGGAAATTTAAATCTGAATAAAAAAATAACTTGTCTGTCTTCATCAAAGCATTTCATACACTTACAAAGAAATATTTGTTAGACTAATTATCAAATATCACCTCCATACACACATGCAAATGCTCACATAATCTCAACCACACACATTAAATAATGTTAAATTATATGCTTAATTAGATGCAGTCTTTGCTGCTCTCAGTAATTCATTAGAGGTTTGAAGGCAATGCAAGTGTAAGTGTCATTAGTGTTATTCTTTCCACTAACTAAAGACTGAATGGTATTGTTGCTCAAACTCCCAGCTAGATTGTCTGAGCACATTCTTGTCAGAACTGAGTTGTCTTGACAACCATAACCATATAGCATTGTCAGAACTGATGCTTTTTTTGGCCACGAGATGTGCTTGTCTCTATATAAAAAAAAATGAATACACATCACATTTGGGACTGACTATTTCTTAGGGGTGGGGCACAATATTTTCTAGTTTAAGGAGGCTTTGCTGGTAATACAGAAGTGATTAATGCCTCTGATCAGTTGGGGTGTTACCACTTTATCAACACAAGGGCCTCATTATTATTGATCAGTATAATTCATTGATAATGAATAGTAGTCTGCCTGTTGAATACATTACACACAGGTGGTGCTCCTATTTTGACAGATGTTCACTCCATAATGACTTGTGTATTGATATTTTTTTGCAGGAAGAGCATACAATTACACACACCCTAAACTCCATCATCTTTTGTTAAAAATTCATTTTTGCTGGGCTTTGCTGATAGCCCATTGCTTCTTTAATTTCTTTAATGACCTTCACAAATGAATCACATTTGGAACACTCCTGGCAACTGAAATGATCATGCTTTGTGTTTTATATGTGGAGTGAAATCTTACTTCCAAGAAATATTGCTGCTGCTGTTCACAAACTTGCCAATAATCTTTAACACAGATGGCTTAGGCATTCTCATTCAAGGCAATGATGTGCAGCTTTTTTCTATATGCATGTAGCAATTCTGTAAATTAAAGTATATTGGGTTGTTTCCTTTTGTGAACTTTACCTATGCAAATTAGCCCAATTGGCTTCTCCATAGCAGTCTTCACTGGACTTAAAACATCATGCTATCTATTATCAGTCAGTCAAGTATTTGTGAAATGTTAGTTGTTCATACACACTTCTTTTCCTTTTAATTGTGTTGTAAGCTGCCCCAAAGATAGTTTTACATGAGCTGTAAGCAGGACTGTTGACCATTTATACATGCTACTGACATATTGAAGTGGGTTTGTTTTTCCAAAATCAGTTTCAGTTTGTGAGTTAAAAAAAAATCATTTATTGTGTGAAATGTCGTGTCATGACAGGTATGATTCAGCTGTCAATTTTACAGTAATTTCATTCTGTAAATACAGATAGTCAAGTCTTGTGTTAAGAAAATGTTGCTATGAATGAGTGAATATAACAAATACAGGAACTAGTTTTATTAACATTTTTGTGGTTGATATGGACTTGTTGCAAAATTTTCTGTAGTGGTGTTGTATCAAGACCTCAAGATGTTCATATCAAATTGGGAAGATGAATAGCATTGGTGTAATATGCTTGCTTTGACCACTGTTGTCCCAAGTTCAATCACTGGTTTGCATATATATATATAACATTTCACCAATCCAAGATAATCCTTTCTACATTACCAAATGATAATACCTTACATGAACTAATTACTACTTTGCAAATCCAGCTGTCCCAGATTATAAAGTTTTAGCTTATCAGCTGTCTGACAGTTACTGACATTTTTGGGCACTTGCATTGTCAAGTACAAGTAACACATCTACTGATACTTTTTCACAGATGCCTTCCCTTCAATTGACAGTATTTCTGCAAGCCACACCCTTTGGATATCAATCAGTTGATTCATAACATTGTGACCAATACTGGATTTGGTATCTATGGTGATCTTTCAATAGGTAGAACACTGCTTATTTTTTCCCATCCAGTACCTCACCAAACATGCATGGGAAAAAGTTTATAGAATGGCCCACTTCTAAACATAGAGGCCCAAAAATATGTGTGCCCACTTCTAAACATAGAGGCCCAAAATTATGTGTGCCCACTTCTAAACAGAGGCCCAAAATTATGTGCCCATTTTTAAACAGAGGCCCTAAATTATGTGTGCCCACTTCTAAACATAGAGGCCCAAAATTATGTGCCCATTTTTAAACAGAGGCCCCAAATTATGTGTGCCCACTTCTAAACATAGAGGCCCAAAATTATGGCCATGGATATAAACTTACAACTGTGAGAACAAGATGCATTGCTGTCAGTAACTTCACATTCTAATAGACCATCATAGGCTTGGCAACCATAATTAATCATCTGATCTCTTTCATGATCAATTAGATAATAGAATAGAAGCAAAAAGAGGGCAACCATTTTTGGTAGTGTTTCTCTCAACAAGATCTTCCCTATTTTGTATGATATCATGATCCCTATGTTACAGATTTTGGTAGGGTGAAGGCTCCCATCTTCACCGCTGAATA